ATTAATTTTTCACAGTATTCTATGTGTGTAAAATTAGAAACATAATCTTTTTGTTTGGTTTTTGTTTTCAAAAATTGAAAAACAATCAAATATGTACTTAATTTAACAATAATAATAAATAAAATTGAAAGAAAAGATTGTTAGAAATCAATAATATATCAGCTATTATTAGCACTATATTATATCGAATATTCATTTTTATCGAAAGAAAACTAAAGAAAAAAATATATATGCTATCATACAAGAATATGATTAGTTCATTTTAGGCTGTTTAGATTCATTTCATACATAGTGCAGTTCGATTTCATTGATCGAATAGTTTGTATACAATTGCCAATATTTTCTCTATAGAGTTTATTAAAGCATATATATTTAAGACAAAAGAAAATGTTAAGGTAAAAACTGGTTCAGTAACAAATAAAAAAGAAATAGATTAAAGTTAAAAAATAGTTAAACGTTGAGAAAAGTAAGTGTAGTAAAAAGAAGCATGATTATAGTAAAAACCACTAGACAAAGACGATCGATGACCATAGCCACAAATTGCCAGTCTTGATATTCATTAGACTCTTTCTCTTTCTGTCGAGAATAATTAATAAGAATAGCAAGTTGAGAAATAATAACACGTAGCTCAGAACGAGTCATTTCCATATTACATATGTACAATTCATTAGATGTATTCTGATGATGACGAGAACCATGAATTTTCATTGCTGAAGATACAGCGAATTCTAAAGGTTCTTTGTCGACATTTATAACATTGGTTGATAACAACTCGAATGTATTATTCAACAATGGTTCAGAAGAAATTTTAGAATGATGATTATCGATCGATCTATTTATATTATTCGATTCTTGTTTTGGGAAAGTCCATCTACGACGAATCGCACGCCAACTCAAATCATGATTAGGACGCTTCATACGTAGCAGCCACGCCAAATAATTACAAATATACTTATGAACCTAAAATGATTTCTAAAATTATGTGATTTACTCATTTTGAAATATGATCTACCCATGATGACATTTTATAATTGCTAGAGTTTCGAAAATGAAGTGATAATACTAATACGGATGCAACAACTGAAACCGCTGACATGATCATAACACACATGAAATAAACGGTAATAATCGGTATAGCAGTTGAACTTGGTGGCAGAATTTCTGATAGAAGTAAACTGAACATAACAACACTTAGAAGAGTTGTAATTTCTGAAGATTTAGAATGTATAAGAACAAATTTTCTATCATGAAATTCTAACTCACGCAAGGTTAATTTTTCACCACTATCCGGTGATAATAAAAATCCAAGTAATGTCATACAACTGATAAGAAAACAAGGTACTATGAAGCGAAAAAACAATAATATTAATAAAAAGATTAGAAAAAAATGTTGTAATTTATAGTTTATTACCGACGATACTTGTAAAGTAATAAAGAGAACGTCGACGCATTCGGATAGTGTATAGTACGTATGGGTACATATTTGGACAACAGTCGTATTTGGTGACATTATTTGTTGCAGAGAAATCTAAAACAGGATGAATAGAATAAAACGCACATTACCCATATCAACTACTTTCTAGATCCCATTCGGCACTTTTGACGTATGCATCTAATTGACCTTGGCTACCAGCTGCCGTCAGATTGACTTCTAAATAATAAAAATGCATATAATACGCAGAAACATTTGGCAAATCATCCTAGAAAAAAAAATGATTTAACCACATACCAGCAACATCATATGTCCAAGATCCAAATTTCAGGATACAATATTGTGTATCCAAAAAAAAAGACAAACATTCAAGAAAAAAGTACGATATGTCTGACATATTTTTTTGATACTTACAAATGGAAATGAGGCAATATTAAATGGACAATTTGATTTGAATAGTACTGGTGGAACATATAGTATATCACCATTATGTTGCACAACGGCATTGATTTTTACTGTAGTATCAAACTTTTCATTGGCACTTTAAAAAAAACAAACATTGTTTTTCAATATATCATTTTTTGTTTGAAAAATAATAACGTGTTGTATAGAAAAATATCTGGTGTCCAAATTCGTGTACTTGGTATTCGTAGTGTTTGAATATTACCAAACTCTTCTGGTTTCCATCTTAAACTATAATCATTCCACATCTATACAGACATATATGAACAATAATAGCAGATATTATAGATAGGGATGCAACAGTGACGATAATTGAACTTCAGTTCATCGGCTACTGGTCCTTACCGGGACTAGCCCCATCAATAGCCGGTATTAGGCTAATAATAGTTTATACCGGGTCATGGTGGCTTAGGATGTAGTCACTTTTTCAAAATTTTGAGCTGAATTTTTTTTGATCAGGAAAAGGCTTTTTTTTACGAAAAAAATTTTTCCTTTTATCAAGTTGAGCCAAAGGCAATCAGAGTGGAGAAATCTGAATCTGTCATTGATGCCTCGATGTTAGGTGCTTAATTTTTTGCAGACGTTTTGTTTTTCAAAATAGCGTTTTTTTTAGCAAAAAACGAATTTTTGCTAACCAAATTTTAAAAAAAGGGTGGGGGTGTGGGTGTGGGTGTGGGTGTGTGGGTGTGAGTGTGTGTGGGGTGTGTGTGTGAGTGTGAGTGGGGTGTGGGTGGAGTGTGGGTGGGTGGGTGTGGGTGGGTGGGTGTGGGTGGTGTGGGTATGGATGTCTTATCGTCATACACACCCACACCCACACCCACACCCACCAACACCCTACAATTTTTTGTAAAAGAAATGTTTTGCAAAAAAATATCAAACTCAGAACTGCGAAAAGCCGATTGCAGATTACGATTCCTCAATTCCGATTATCTTTGCTCAAACTTTATTAAAAATCACTACTTTCGAAAAAGATCCTCCGCCGGACGAACAAAAAAATCAAATTTTGAATTTTGAAAAACCGAGTACACCCTAAGCCGGTATAGATCGGTTTATACCGCTATAAACTGGTATTAGCCTGATACCGGTAAAAAGTGGTTACCTGTTTGAAACGGTAAACCGATGACTCACCGTCACTGTTGCATCCCAAATTATAACTAAGTATACATACGATAGCCATCCAGCCACTAATGACAATAGCTTCGTTCTTTCCATCCTATTTATATTTCAAAATTGAAGAAAACATGAAAAAATAAGTATTTAATCTCACTTACAAAATTAATGATTTGTTGTAAAGCCAAATTTATAGCGACAGGTAATGTATGAGAGTCATTTTGAACAGGTCGTACAATTGGTTTGTATCGATTATTAGTCAATAGATGTTCTAATAAACGAAGTTGATCAGGACCTCCAACTAATATTCATTATGTTTTCGTTTCTGAAGAAATTCATTAACTCACTTATGAAATTGAAACAATAACATGTGATTAGGAGAAATAATTTTAATTGTCGTTGAATTGTATGAAACATTTTCTTTGAAACTAAGAAGACAAGATGTAGAATTTTTTATTTGTCAAAATTTTTTCACAAATGTAAAAAATATAAGATGTCGACAAAAGAGCGCAATAGTAGAATCTATCAGGTCTGCAGTTTTGCACTTCCAAACAGTATTCCTAACACTTTTAATGAAAGTTTCATATTCAAATCTCATAGTCGCTTCGAAAACATAATATATTTTTTTCTCGATTATTTTTATTCATTTATTAGCATCTATTGAGAGAACTCAAGAAAAGACTCAAAAGAAAAACAAAAAGCACCTTTACTTCTAGCTGGACTTACAACTCGTTTTTTAAACCAATATCAATTGAATGTGTATAAAATGCATGAAAATTGATTCTATAGGAAAAAATACATATGTGTAAATTCTACGATAGGACATGTGACAAAATATTTCGATTGTTCGTACCACTATAATGATTTATGGTGTAGATCTAGGAGAGTGTATCATTGACTTGAATTAGTACAGAAATATTTCTTCTTTAAACTAATTAAAATGTCTTGAAATGAGAAAATCGAAACTGAATGGTAAAGCGATAAATTTTAAAATATTATCAATTGCTGAAACATATTTGACCTGAAAACAATACTTTACGGTAATATCTATACGATTAAAATATTTCTGTATTACTATAAATCAAATTTTTATAGTATCAGATCTTCATTGGTTATTAATGATTTCGAGAATTATCCAAGTCAATAATGACAATAGTTAATACCTACTATGGCTAATGACAAATTGGGATGAGAAAAAAAACATAATAATTATGAAACGACATTAGCATTAAACTCACGTGCAAAAACAAGGAAATGACGATTGTTGAATATTATTCTCAAATAAATATAATTGTATAGGCAATCCTATTCCGTAGTTAAAATGAAGAACGAAAAAGAAAGATAAACATTAAGTAATTAAGAGACGACTCACATATCACCTTGTCATAGTTGAGTGACGGAAAGTATGAATAGAAAAAATCCGCATGTAATGATAAAGATAATAATGCCTAGATAGAATAATAGCATTTCCCACGTTTTCTTACAGTCCATTGAGTTTCATGTTTGATGTGCAGACTTTTTAAAGTAATCGGGCAGGCATCAAACATAATACATCATTTTATTTCGAAATTCGATTCCTTAGGCAGCAATTACTAACGTTTTTTTTTTAATTACTAATATATAGAAAGTGAAAGACAACGGTATTCCTGTAGCACGTGCTTCACCGTTAATTAGTAATATCATTATAGCTGGTGCTTCTTTTCATAGAAAAAGTGCTCCACACGCTAATTGAATTACACATATACGTGACATATATATCTTCTCTTCATAGATAGTGTTCCCGTTAATGAGAAATTTTCTCTTATCAAAAAGTAATTAAAAACGATCTCAATAACAGTAACTTAGACGTGGTTAGTAAGAGATTTAGGAAATATGTATTACAGTCGAGGACATTTGAGATTATATCCTTTGATTTTTTTTTGTTTTCTATCACTATATGTTTTTTATCTATTAACCTACTATATATAGGGAGAAAGCCTGAAACAACACACTCTATCTTTTGGTATATTTCCATTGAACATCAAATGCAGTTTAAAATGTAAAAAATGTATTAGAAAAAAAAGTGACATTTGTTTTTACTACAATACCGAGTGTCCATAATGTTGTAACATTTTTCATTTTGCAAAGATGTCGGCTTAGGTAGATGATAAAACCTTGGATTTTTTTCAAAAGATGCGCTGTGAAAAGCTCTACAAAAGCTGTATGAACGCATTTCTTGTTATCTATTATAATGGTTTTTCTTATGCTCAAAATGAACAACTTACATGACAGTGCCACTTCCCATCATACGAAAAATGTTGGAAGACTTTTTTGTTCTGCCTATATCTCGACTTGAGAAAATGATGGAATATTTGAATTTTTTTTTCAAATGTGTTGTTCATGTTGAGCATAAGAAAACCATTACAAGAGGTAAAAAGGAATTCAATTATACAGCTTTTGTAGAGCTTTTCACGGCGCATCTTTTGAAAAAAATCCAAGATTTTATCATCTACCTAAGCCGAGGTCTTTGCAAAATAAAAAATGTTACAAAATTAGGGGCACTCAGTATTGTAATAAAAACAAATGTCACTTTTTCTTCTAATACACTTTTACATTTTAAACTGCACTTGATGTTAAATGTAAATATACCAAAAGATAGAGTGTGTTCCGGGCTTTCTCTCTATATATAGCAGGTTAATATATAAAAAACGTAAGGCAATAAAAAACAAAATATTCACAGGGTATCATTTCAATCGTACTGAACTTTATATAAAAACAAATTTACTAAATAAATATTATATATCCATGATTCCACCGTATATGTGACATGTTTACATCGAGTTCTTCAAAATCAATTTTCATGTATGAAATCGTGTAGAACATAGTCGATTTACTTACTATGATAACAAAAGATTCGCTATAAATTCCAATGTTGAAGAGATTAACGATTGAGGGTGTGGGTGTAGGATGTGTGTGGGTATTGGTGTGAGTATGTGTGTAGGTGTGTGGATGAGATAATGACTAAAGCCCACATCAACACTGTTTTATACGATTACTCAGCATCTAATCATGAGTGAAGTTACAAGGCAAATATAATAATCAAACAGAACGTGTTAAGTAGTGTCCTGCGAGAACAGCTTTTCTCGGTTCCCGTTTCCCGTTTCCGTTCCCGTAAAAAAGGTTTTGTTCCCGTTTCCGGTTTCTGTTCCCGTAAAAAAAGGGTGGAGTGGGGTGGGGGTGGGTGTGGGTGTAGATGTGGGTGCGGGTGTGGGGTGGGGTGGGTGTGGGTGTGGGTGTGAAATGTTCTTGAACGACTACCTGCACCCACAGCCAACCCACATCCACACCCACACTCACACCCACACACCCACATCCACACCCCACACCCCACACCCACACCGGCATTACAATCGAATAAGCTTTCCACCTCAGGCTAATAACAAAGCTTTCATATTCCAAGGTGCAGAAACTACAGTATTAAATTTAGGACCGAAATTTCGTGCGCCCAGCACCAGAACAAGTTCTTGAACGTCTACCAAAAGAAATCAGTAACATGAAAGAAAAGATATCGGCAGCATGGAGAAGAATGACTAAGACTACTGGAAGAGAACCACCAATAGTAAAAAGTTTTTGTGAGCGAATAGACGAAGAAATAAGAAAAACAATAGAAACAGAAGTACCGAAAAATCCCATTTTGAAACCAACTATAACTTTTTTTCAAAAAATCCAACAACAAAAAAGAGTAATTTTTAGACAAATGGACAAATCGAAGGTCTTTCATGTAGACACATCAGCAAATTACATAAAGAAATCAAACATATATCTGGCAAAAACTAATGCATACGTAGAGATAGTGACATCACCATTAGAAGAAATGATAGAAAGAACAGATAAATTCTTACATGACTTGGTCTCGAGTTAACAGATGCCACAATATATGTTAGATAGATTACGTCCATCCCCTACTGAATCAGAATTACCTCACTTATACTACAACCCGAAAGATCACAAAATTGGTGAACCACTCAGACCCATAGTAAGTGAAATTAAATCCCCATTATCAAAACTGTCCAGTTTTTTGGACAAGATTGTACGTCCTCTTTTCGATAAACACACTCAGTACGCAATTTCTAACTGGATGACTTTTCTGGAACAGTTGAAAAAGTATAAAACAACATCAAAAACAAATATATACACATTCGATATTGCAGATTTATACACAATGATCCCACAAAAAGAGGTAGTACTAGCTTTATGTGATTTTCTCGGCAGGTACGGTTACAGAAAGATCCACGGTCTATCAATCAATACGATAAAAGCTATGTTACTACATGTGTGAGCAAATTCAGATTTTATTCTCCAACTACCAGGATTAGAACCAAAATTCTATCAACAAACTAGAGGAGGAGCAATGGGTTCGGCATGTACACAGTCTCTTGCCGATATTTAAGTGAGAAAATGGGAGAACGATTTCGTACAAGAACAACATCAACAAGGCGAATTATATTTTCGGTTTAGGGACGACGTATTTCTAACTACTGCATTACCGCGGGAACAGATAGAACAAATCTTATCAAAATTGAATAACAAAGACCCCAATCTAAGCATTACATGGGAAGGAGGGAAAACAGTAGATTACTTAGATGTAACAATCACAATAGAGATACCTAATTTCAGAACCAAAGTCTTCTGTAAACTTGCAGCACAACCGTACGTACTTCCTTTTCACTCGTCACACCCCCATCATGTCACCAGGAATATACCATATGCTGCGGTTCTACGAGCCACTCGCATATGCTCACACCAAGAAGATCTAAGGTGTGAACTAGACAAGATTAGAATTATGTTCCTTCTAAACAAATATCCACCAAGATTTATTGACAAACACGTAGGACGGTTTTTCCAAGATGTAACTGGAATACGAACATCGGACTTGCTTTTGGGAAAAGACTATCCGAAATTCAGAGGATTAGTGTTAGACTTGGACTGGAATAAGAAAGAAAAAAGAAAAATAGAATTTGATAAAAATATTCTCCTTCACTTCACATACACACCGTCTCTAGCAGATGTTGGTTCACGTTTTCACCAATTATGGCAAGAAATATTTGAAGGTACACCACTAGATGACATACCGGTTATGTTTGCGAATAGACTCACGGATAGTCTAAAAACATCTTTTAGTTAAAAAACGACCCAGCAGACAAGCGATAAGACTTCTACCAGCATCGTCAAAAGAATGATCATATTATGAAATCAAATTTAAAAAAATAAGAATGAAAATAATTAAATAATAACTAGTCCAAAAAACAGAACACTAGCGAGAAATAAAAAATAATAAAAAAACTATTAACATTAACAACAAAAGGAAAAGTCTATTACTCTGGTAAAAAAGTAATAACAAAAATGCTACTAACACTAACAAAAGGGCAAAAAAATTT